CAGCAAGTCTCGTCTGATACAAACTCCGAGCTTTGGGATCTGTTAATGGAAGCTTCAACTACCTTTGAATTTGAGAGTAATTTTTATTTGCTTGGAAGGTGTCAAGACAAGCGTGCCAACTTCAGATAAATATCCTCAGAAGCATCACCTGAACTCTTTTGACCTTTGTGTTTTTTTTTTTTTTTGTCACACTGAGAAGACACCTCGACATGCCTTCTTCTGTTTCTTGTCTAGAACATTTGGTTTGCATTACCTTTTAACCTAAAATCAGACCAAAGCATGTTGCCAAAAAAAAAAAAAAATCAGACCAATCAATGATGGAAGAGAATTCATTCTCGCTTGCTGCAGAAAGGCCTTATCTTATGATCATTGGATACTATTATCAAATTGATATTCTTATCATTGGATAGCAAAATCTTGGAAATATGGAGCAAATGGAAAGACACTTCATGCAAATTCATTGTTTCCAAGGATTTCCAGATAATCAATAGGGGGGACTCTTACAGTAAGAATGAATCAACTATGAACTTTCTTTCTTTTGACCACCAGGCTTCTCCGACCTTACTCTCTGTTTCATTCATCCAAGGCAAGGAGATTTCTTCTCAGAAAATGCAGAGCGGCAAGTGCATTTGAGACTTTCATGAATGAGATCAAGAAGCTGATTCACTCTTTTAAATATCTCTTCGTTGAAATTTTACCCAGACCTTTCATCCCCTGATAGCATAGTCTCCCTAGTAATGTATTGTATTAATGTATCTGATCTTGTACTTTCTTCTAATATATTTGACTCTGTATTAAAAAAAAAAAAAACATTAGAACCTCTTACAAGTGCTAAAAAGTTTCTGCATCATGTCTTGTATGAGGGGACAAATGCGGCTGTTGATCTTGATCTTTGATCCCTTTCTGGTTGTGCTTGCCTTTACCTTTGTGTTGAAAAAAAAAAAAAGAGGAAACAATAATTTTAATTTTAAATAAATAATACAACAATTTTTTAATGGTTTTTAAATTTTTTTAAAATATATGCTGATTTTTTAAAACCTCTCCGTTTAAAATTTTCCTTAGGTAGCTTAAACAAATATATTTAGAGTCTCTAATACTCGCATCCAAATATAGAAATATATAGTTGTAAAGAAGAAAAAAATCAGAAAAAATGATAAAAAAATTCTTCAAAATATACAAATAACAATAAAATTTTGCGAATGTGGCCGTAATTCTTTCTCAAGTTCTAGAGGCCTTTTTGATAGTAATAATTTTTGATAAAATTATTAAAATACTCTCAATTAAACTAAAGTAGTAATTATTTGTTTCGTTATAGTCCTTAGTAGAAAAAATAATCATTACTTAAACTAAAAAAGTTATAAATAGTTTATAATACTTAGATTTCAGTGAATAAGCAATTTACACAGGGAAAATTGTAATTATTTTTTCTGTTATAATTATTTACAGAAAATAGTTGATGCTTAAACTAAAATAGTCATGAATATTTACAACCATGGTTTTTAGTGAATAAAAAATTTTACATGGGAAAAATATAATTCTTATTTTGTTTTAGTCATTACTAACAAAAAAATAATCATTATTTAAATTAAAGTAGTCACAAATATTTACAACACGTGAATTTTAAAAAATAAAAAATTTGCATAGAAAAAAATTGTATTATAATTACTTATTTATTTTAGCCATTGTAAAAAAAATAATCCGTTAATTAAACTAAAGTAGTCATTATATTTATTTTTTATCAAAACTATGACTTTTTTATTTTAAATTGAGAGTATTTTAATCATTTCACTAAAAATTATTAATGTTAGAAAGAATTCTAGGTATCTAAGAAGAATTATGACAATTCGCAGGTTCTAATTATTATTTGCATGTTCTAGGAGGATTTTTTTGTCATTCTTTCAAAAAAAATTAAGAGATAATAGATAATTAACCTCCTTGTACTTGAAAATTAATCAAAATTTGCACGAGTTTCAACATGGTGCAAATCATCATTCTAACCTAGGAAAAGAATAACTTCAAAAGTGAACCTTATTCTAAGGAAAAGAATTTGCACATATATTTTCTTAAAGGTGTACTATAGACAATGGATTACCCTTCGTGGAAGTCACCCTCTTTAAGAATCAAAATTAAAGTATATTTGTTTGTCACGAAAAAGGAATGAATTGAAGCTAAGAAGACATGAATTCAAAGAAAACACAGAACCATGATAATGCTGTTTTGTGTATTATAAAAAGCGACGAAACCAAACCAAATCTTTCATAGTTGTTTCATTCATTCTTCAAAGAGATCTCATTAGTGATGGCACTAAATCGTGTTTATGAAGATTTTCAACCTCCTCATGATTGGGTTCGTGACGAACAAAGTGAAACTCTCTCATTCTTCAGCTTGAAGGTTCATTTATATATTTGGCTCTTTAATTATATCTCCATTTATTAATTAGTCAATGATAATTTATTTGATTTATTATTATTTATTTGAATTTTTATTCAATTTCTATGTTTGGCAATTGTGATTTGTTAGTATGTTGCACCAATTTTTACTCAAATCAATTGCCCAGATCAATCATTAGATTTATTAGTTTAGTGAGTTTGAGTTCTATTAATTTAGTCAGTCCATAATCAGTGTGTACGTAGTAATTGTTATCCAAAAAGGGTATAATATGAAGAAAATTGATCATTTGAAGTTAGCAATTGGTAATTTTAAGAAATTTTTTTAAATAAAAGAAGAATATTTTGGTTAATATTTTAATAAAAAATTTAAAGAAATAGATAAAATATATGAAAAATGAAAAAATTATGGATCTCAATTTTAGAAAATTTTCTTTATAATCTGCATGTTTTTACAATTTGCAATTTATAATTTGTGAACCTGTTTTCATTCGACCCGTGACATAACTCTTTTGTAATCCTTTTTTTTAAAAAAAAAATTGACAGCTTAATGCGATAGAGTGTAATTTACCTCATCAACGAAGGTGTTATCCATTAATAATTAACTTAAACCATTGAACTAATTTTGATTTACTTTTGTAGGATTTTCAAGGAGCCAATTGAAGGTTCAAATATCAGCAATGCGCAGGATCAGGGTGAGTGGTGAACGACAAATAGAGGGCAACATATGGCGTCGTTTTTACTCGGAATTCCCAGTCCCACAAGATTCAGACACAAACAACATTGGAGCCAAGTTTGAGAGAGGCACTTTGTACGTTAGATTTCCCAAACTTATCACTCCTGTTACGCCTCAACCACCGCCGACTCAACAAGCTCCTTCGGCGGCGCCACCGCCTAGGACACAACAACCTCCTCCTCCTCCACCACCGCCACCTTCGCCGCCAAAGCCGAGAACAAGAGAGGAACCAAAAGCAGAACAAACAATCGAGAAGAAGCCAGAAACAAGGGATCAGCCAAAGATAGAACAGAAGGAGAAAGAACCACCAAAAGAGGAGAAGCAACAAGCCAAGGAGAAGGACATTTCTCAAGGTATGTTTTCGTTTTCGTTTTTTTTTTTTCTTGGTATTGCCAACACATTTTAGAGGAAAAAAATAATAATAAAAATCCTTCTGAATTATATAAATAATAATTTAATCTTTTAAAATATTATGATTCTATTGAAATCTTTAATGATCCTTTTTTTAATAAATTTTAAATTAAAATACTATTTTATCTTTTTTGATAAGTTGTAATTTCTTGTTTTAATTTTTATAATTTATAGAATAAAAGTAATTATTCTTTAAATAAAAGTTGTGATTAGAACTTATTATTTTAATAAAAGTAAAATTATTTTTTTATTTCAAAATTTATTGACAAAGAGGGTCATAGGAACTTTATTAAAATTAACATTTTGAAGGATCAAATTATTATTTATATAATTTAGAAAGATTTTATTATTATTTTTTCTTTTAGAAGGTAATAAGAAAGTATTATTAATCAATAATCTCTTTTTTAAAAGATAAAATGGGTCAAATTTATGAAGTATCATATCATTAATTTTTATACTCAGAATTTTAATAGCGGTCCCATGGCTTGAGCCAATCTTTTATGATCTATCTTTCACACAAAAAAGGAAGATGAATAGAGGGTACTTATACTTTTTTTGACAAATAAATCTATGTAAAAATTTTTTTTTTAATTTACGTGAAAATGCTTGAAAGTGAAACATCTAACAATAAGAACGGGAGGAGTATATATTATAGATTTTCGGAAATGAATGAAGGGAAATTAAAGAGGGAAACATTTTAAATTAAATTAATTATAATTTAGAAATTGAAACTTACTCATTCTTCATAAAAAAAATTATATATTACTGATAAACAAGTTAAATTAATGAAATTGCATATATTTTTTAAATTTTTAATGAATTATAAAATAATTTACATATATATATATCGTGTTAAATCACATCAAATCTATATATACTTGTTTAATTAATTCATAGCCCAATCTTATACAATTATTAACACAAATGAATCCAACAGGGAAAGGATTGGTGGAGGAAGAAAAAGCCAGAAAGCTAAAGCACCAGAAACAGATCAGAGACATCTTCAAAAGAAAGAAGAAGAATCCAGAAGGCCATCATCATCATCATTTTCTGAAGGAGTATTGGGTTCTATGCAGGCTCAGGATTATAAGGACGCCATTGTTGGCTTGGTTGGAGAGCTCAAGAAGCAAAAGACAGTGATCAACAAGCTTGCGATTGTTCTTGTGGTTCTTTTGCTTGGGCTCTATCTCAAACACTTAGTCAAGTCATCTTTTGGAGGATCCAAAACCCACCAGGAGCTATAATTCATCCAGAACTTAATTAATTGTTTCGATAATAAAAATAAAGAGAAAAAAAAAGTGAGTAGTCAAGTCATATCTCTTTGGAATTATCGTGATGTTCTCTGATCTCAATTAATTTGTGTTTAAGATAGACTTGTGTGTTGTGATATTGATCATTGTCAAATACCAAATCATTTAATTATTCATATACTTTCATTACATTATCATTCTTTTATTTTAAGATTGCTTTAATTCCACAAGTATAGCAAGCTTTTTTATTTTTTCCAGACGTATATTTAAATCTGGTGTGTCATGAGTACATTTCATTTCATTATATAAAGATAATCTAATGGTACTGTCTTAGCTTTTTTTTTTTAAATAAACTCTAATGGTCTTAGCTTTATTATTATATATATCAAATTAAATTTGAATATTTTTTTATTTAAAATAAATCAAGTTGTGAAATTAAATAAATTTTTTACTGTCATCTTGTAAAAAATTAAAATTAATAATAAATGTAATTTCAAAACCAATGAGCTCTATGCCAAGCCATAAAACTGATGAGCTAGTTATTATCCTAAACTAGACCCAAAAAATGCTAAATTAGTTTAATTAATGGTTAAATTGTACCTATATTAAAGTTTTAATTTAGTCCCTTAATTTTATAAAGTATTTTTTTAGCTTTTTAACCACAATATCGTTAGATTCAAATGATATTTTTTGTATCATTTATTGTTATTTTCAAAAAAATAAACTTAAGGCATATGTTCTAAACTTTTCTATAATTGAAGAGCGTTCATAGTATATAACTCTCAAGTTTCTGAAACCATCTTATTAATTTTGACTTTTTAATTATATTTTAATGCTGTACTTTGGCTGGCAGGGAAAAGAAGTAAGGAAAATGAAGAAAAGAGAAAAGTCGAGAGATGCAATTTCTTCCCTTCCATTATGATGGCTAAACAAGAGAAATAGGAAAAAAAGAAATGTTATTAATTTTATATAGACAATAATAACCTTATTATTTATAAAAAATATTTATATATAATAAACTTTAAATATTTTAACATATTACATACATAATTATTTCTACCATATATCATTGATTGAATAAAAATATAATTACAAATTATTTTATCCAATACTGATAAAAAATTATTTTATTCAATTTATAATTTTATTTATTAAATTATTAGATATATGATAATCTTGAAATTTTAAAATTACAACCAAATATAAGAAAATTAACTGAAAATTTAGAATTAACATTTGTCTAGTTAATCTATGAATTAAATATTCTACTCTCCTCTGTTAAAAAATGTAAGGCATTTTTTGAAAATTAGATGTTTAAAAATATAAGGCATTTTTAGTCTTTCAAGGTATAATTATTGTTTTTTTTTTCAAAAATGTCCCTATTAATAATGACTTTATATTTATTGTAAGGTGTTTAAAAGAGGTGAATATGAAAAGATAAGATTAGTTTGAAAGTAGATAACTACTTTATTGAAGATGAGATTCGGTTAAAAATGGTTTATATTTTTAAACGAAGAGAGTACTTATTTAAAAAAAGTTCATGATTAAAATGTAACTATACTATAAATATAGAATTTGAAAATTGGTGAGTAAATTTAAATTAAAATTTTCTCTCCCAAAATCTCTTCACATTCAAAGAAAAAACTGGAAGTACAAATATGTTGATCCCACATTTTATTTTTCCTCACTTTTTTCGTCCTCTCACACTTTCCTCTTCACAGTCAAGTAAGGAAAAATAGCATTTTTCCCTCATTTTTCTCTCCTAAAAGTTTAAATAACAAGATAACTATCTAATAATTTTTCCATTTCAAATGCGCAGTTTATAAGTCAACTTCCAATTGAACTAAGCCCAGGAATCATTTGATAAAGAATAAAAAAGAAATAAATAAACTAATAAGAATAACATATTGAGAATTTTTCTTGCGCTCTAAATTAAAAAATAACAATAAATATCAATTGAGTGGCGTATGTAGTTCAGAGATAGTCAAATTAATTTATATTAACTGGAGTTATAGAGGGGTCTAGGTCAACTTTCTCCATATACAGGAAATGGAATAAAAAAAAAATATAATAACATTTATAGAAGCACAATTATTACTCCATTTATCTCGAATTATATGACACTTTTGAAGGAGATTCAATATCACAAAATATAAGACACTTTGAGAAGATTAATGTTTTATTAATAGGCTTATTTCAATATTACCCTTTCCCTCTCTATATTAATTTTTATTCATTCTCTTTTCAAGATTTAATAATGAGTATTTTTAAAAGTTTATATTTTGTTTTGAAAAGATAAGGTTGTTAAATATATTTAATGAAGTTTATTAATATATGAAATTTTATTTAAAAGTATCTTATAATTTGGGACGGGAAATATTAAATAAGAATAACATTGATATAATAGATATTACATATATACAATATTGATACAATGAAAATAAAAAGAATGCTCTCCTATACATTTACAATTTTTCATTTATCAATCGTAAAATTGAACTACACTAGACATTTGCTACTTCTTTTCTTTTCTTTTTTCTTTTTTCCTTCGATCATGTTCTCTTTTATGTGCTACGGCTGTCTAAGTTCTTAGCATTTAGATGACAAGAATTTTTTTCCCAGTGTAAGACAAAAAAAAGTTTAATAATAAATTTTTAAAAACACAGATTGCGAGGTTAAGGGAAGAATTACGTAAACTGTTTTTTTTTTTAATTCATAAAAAGGGTAAAGATAGGTAGATGTGTAATTTATTTTAACCCAAGTCTTCGCATATTCCTTAATTACAAAGAAAAATATATACTTCATAGCTAGTATTTATTATAGAATGTCTTTTACAAAAATTCTTTAGTCCTCAATATAAGTCAAATATAAGGTTATTAATTAATATTTTCCAATTTTACCCCAATTATAAATTACTAAAAGGAGAATTTAATTATAATTTAGTATTTTTATATGCTCCTCAAATGTTGTGTTTCTCTTTATAACGGGGCAAGGTTGACATTTTTTTTTAATTTTAAAGCTTATTTAATGTGTTAACTCTCTTTCCTTAATTCCAATGACCATGAGGCGATCAAGAAAGATTTGCAAAGTTTGGGATGAGGTGGTTAAAATGATTTTTTAAACTTGTATTAAATATCTAATCTATTGATACATTACCACATTAGCCTTTCTTTCCCCCCTCGCTCATGTTATCTTCTATGTGCTTCGGCTGTAAGACAAAAATACCTTTAATAATCATTGAAAAACAGACTGAAAGGTTAAGAAAAGAATTGTGTAAACTATTAAAGATTAAAAAAATAAAGGTAAAGATAGATAAATGTAATTTCTTTTAACCCAAGTCTTCATACCTTAATCAGAAAGAAAATTATATATAATTGCAGGAAAGATTTGCATTGGGGAAAAGTGATAACAACCAATTTGGCCTTTTCTTTTCTCTTCTTATTTCCTCACGTGAACTGCACCTGCCGACAACCTTATGAAGTCCTAAACAAAGAAAGAAAGCATATATATTTTCTTGCAGCAACAACCTCATAAAGCGAAACCTAAGCACAGAGAGAAACAAAGATTTAATTTCCACGACAAGAAAGTAATAAAGCAAAAACAAATATTGCAGGAAACACTTTAGAATTTGCGTGTGTGTGAAATTTGCACAATATATAATTATACAGGAAACAATAATAGTATATTGGTGATTTGATGCTTATAAAATTGACACAACTTGCTAGGGTTTTTGGATCACCATTAAACTCAGAGAAGAAGAAGATCAGAGGGATAGCAGAGAAAAACCCTAAAAGCAAAAGAAGAAAGACCAGATACTGATCATCATGGATTCAAGATCACAATCTGTTGGCGACAATCGTGTCTATGAAGATTTTGAGCCAGATTTTCAATGGGAAAAAGATGAAAAAGCTGCAACGCTTGTGGTTTCTCTACCTGGTAATTAAATTTACATATCCTCTCTTATTTTGGAGGAAAAATAATCGTCGTTTTCAGACAAAATCTGAGAATTTACTTTAGAATAATATTTTTTTATTAAAAAATAGACCAAGATAGGTATGAATGATCAAATTACAAGTCATTCTTTCTGCTAAAAATTAGGTTTCTTACACTTTCGTCCTCCCTTTTCTTTTTCTGTCTTTTAATATATTTCGTGACCTTGTTATATAAGAAAATATTATTTAGGGAGTTTGAAAAATAAGGACATTTGAAAAATGTCGAGGAACCGTTCAAAAGGTCCTTGTTTTACATTAATTTTCTCAGATGGTCTTCAATTGTCAACATTCTCACATATTTAGATAATATATCATTTGAAATTTGCGAAGCTAAATTTTAGAGAATTTAAACAAATCTGTCTAATATAGTATAAAATGTTTCCATTTTCACCGTATATAATATATATGTATATATATTGCCAAGTTGCTTTCAAAATATTTGTGACTTGTATAAGATTGATTAAAGAGGTTGAATTTAGCTGCTTTACATATTTTTTTAGAAAAATTTCCAAAGAATCTTCAATTGGTAGTATATGTATCTTAATCTAAATCTAATGTATGTATTCTGTTTTTGGTCCATACACAAGTTAGAAGGGTCTATTAGTTAGATATGCTTCATTATTTTTTTTTGAACGACATTAATGTAAAATTAAAAAATAAAAGACATTGAATGTTCGTCTTTCTTTAATTTTCTTTGTGTTTTTCCCCAACAATAAATATATAAAGGGTTCAGAAGAGATCAACTGAAGGTTCAAGTGACTTCAACTCCTACGGTAGGATCACCGGTGAACGACAAACAATTGACAACAAACGACGTCGTATCGCCAAAGAATTCTCCATTCCTTCTGAATGCGACACCGATGAGGTCACTGCCAAGTTTGAAGGTGGCAAGCTATATATCAAGTTCTCCATAAAAGCCCCAAAGCCACAGTTATCAGAAGATTCATCAAAGCCAAGGGATCAAAACGACAAAGCAGAAGCAAAATCAAAACCCAGAAATGAAGTTTCTGATCTACAGAAGGAAGAACAAGGCCAAAGAGAAGAGGAGCAGAAGAAGAAGAAGAAAGTGACGACTACTGACGTGGTTGAGAAGATACCATCATCACAGAAACTATAGCTTCTAAAAATGGAGAAAGTTTCAGAGCTTCGTCGTCCCAGCCACAGGGACTGATGAAGAGAACAAAAA